GACACAACGCCCTGCTATTTTTTGTTGCAGTTGTCATTGTTGTTTAGCTGGCCCAGGCTGGGTTTGAACCCACCAGCCTTGGTGTATGTGGCTAGTGCTATAACCACTGTGCTACAGGCACTGAGCCCAAAATATATTTTTCTTATATAAACGATGTATAAATGGCAGTTAACTTCTGAGGCCAAAACACTGAAGTTTATCTAACCCACAGGATACATAAAATGCGTGCTTTTTTGGTAGAAGAAAATATTATTAAAACTATGGGTTAATTAACTATGAGTCCAAATTTATTAATATGTCTAAGAATAAAGGCTTTACCAAGGCAAAATTAAACTTCTGACCAGCCCCTATCAAAATCACAAAGCATACGTCTTAAAAAGTTCAGGTTTAACCAACCAATATAAAAGTTTCCAATTTTTCTAAAGGTATTGTTAGAATCATTTAGTTTCTCTCCCTTATATATCTGCGACACATTTTCTAGACATATTTATAACTACTTTTTCTTTTCACAGCCTCAGGAACACATTTTGAACCTGGTTCAAGGTGACACAAAGTTTCTCTAGACTCTTTGAGGGCGTCTGCAAGATCAAAACTACTTTCTTAATCATGGAAACACGTTACTCGCTCTTTCCACACTCATTTTTTCACAGGCGCACAGTCGAGTTTACCAGAAACTGTGTGTTGTCTACAGCTTTAATGGGCCTGTGTGGGGAACAGATGTAAGAATCCTCCTGTCCTCCATTAATCCAGACTTTAAAAAAGATTTGTAAAAATATAACAATTCCAATCTTCTTATTATATTTTTAGTGTTGAAAATATAATTATTTTTCTAACTGTTATACCAATTAACATGTAACAGGGTTGTTATTGTTACTGAAGGAATTCATGGATATATATAAATTTTTCTTACAGTTGTAATGTGTGATGATTATTTTGATTAATACAACCCACATCAACAAAAATTCTTCTGGATGCTCAGTAATTTTAGGAGTACAGAACGGTGCTAAGGCTGAAACGTTTCAGACCTGCTACTTCAGACAAATTTCCTTCATCATGTAAACAAAACTTGTGGCTAAAGGGATAAAAAGATTCGTTTCCCAATATTTCTGCAAATGTCTCCAGAAGTAAAATCTCTCCCTTCCCTGACATTCCTTTCTATGATAAACATGGTCAGATTTTGAGTAGGGAATGGATGACACCTGAGTGGACACTCACCTTTACCAAATCTGTGTAGCCGGTTTCTTTTGCTGTCCACCAGGGCTGAGCTTTCAGGCCATTCACATTGTAGAGCGAGCGTTGCCAAACAGACGCAAAATGTCCTCGCTTGTGCCCAAGCTCGTACCACTTATATGCCTGCGAGAACAGGAAGAATGTGCTCCAAACTATTCTTTCAATGAAGCATTTTTATCAATTTTATAATTAAAGTCATTAAAAGTAAAGTATTACTTTGAGATATTTAAATAAACAGCTTGCCATTAGGTACCTAAATCTGTTAAAAATCTGTTAAAATCAGGTGAAAATGCTATTTCATTGGATTTTTGATTATGGCTTATCGGTATAATGAATGTGTGCCCTTCATTCTCACACCGAGGCTGCGAGCTCCTTGAGCAGTGGATCCAGGCCCTACACACACAGGTCCCCACAGGCTCCAACATGGCATCCAGGACTTACTTGTTAAATGGTTAAATAAGACACCAAAGGATCACCTTTACGTTTTAGCGTTCATTTCTATTTTATGTTTCCTTTGAAGGGAAAAGATTATGATTTGAATAATTTCATTAAAGATATGTGCATTGACCAAATTGGAATGCTAAAATGTCGGACAGCCATTTCCCAAGATACTTCCCAGGTCAAGAAGCTACCCCAAGGCAACAGGATGTAAATCCTCCATTAAGTTAAGTAGACAGGAGGGCAATGTCATTCTGAGTTGGCAGTAAATACAGTGATAGCCCGTATTAGGCTATTTTAAAGGGAATTTTTGTTCATAATGTGTTTTTTCTACTATAAGTGATAACATTTGTGGCTTAAGGCTAGCAGTAACATGATAGAACTTGCCTCCGAGACTAGCCTTTTCAGGGACAGCTGGCTGCTCCAGATGGCTCCTTCAAATGACGTCCCAGCCATATGTTCCCCAAGTGTCCCGTCCCTCCTGCAAGGTGCATGTGCCCTTGTCTGGGGATGCCTGGTGTTCCTCCTGATGCACTTAGTATTATCCTTTCTGATGTTACATGGTGGATTAAATGATTATTTTTGAAGAGTGATTTCACATATATTTTTCATTAATAAAAATAAGCATTTATTATCAACTTGAATATCTTCTTTATAAATCTCCAGATATACTTTAGATATAAAAAATGTTAACCTTTAAAAGTCTTTTAAAATTCATGATTTCGAAATGTTTCCATTAGAAAACCAAAGGGTGACACAATACCACCTCGTGTTTGCAAAGGCAGTTCACACTTACTACTTGCCGCCATATGCGGCCTCTCTTCGGTTCTTTCTAATAACCCCAAATATCACTATTTTGCAAATGTTAAAACCGAGCTTAATAAAGCTAAATCTTTTGAAACTGTAATCCAGGGCTCCTGGCAACTTCTACCTTGGTATCATTTCATGAAAACTATCAAAAATAATTTTCTTATTTATTTTTCTCATTAATATCTCAAATTAAGAAGGCATGTGCTTATTTATTTTCCTTAAAATACACGTAAGTTGTAGCCAGAATTTCTTTAAAACCCAGAAAGGTAAAGTGGCTAATTATTATCTAATTTTTTTTAAAGCTAGCATTTACCTATGGGGGTTATTTTTGTCCAAGTTAAATTTAGGATTTTATTTCCTGTACTTTTCAGTGTAAAAGTCAGCAACAATATTAATTACAACACATTGTTTTTTTAATCTGACGATCCATTAATTTTTGAGTCATCAGCAATGCATTGTAAAGATCTGACATTCTGTTAGAATAGTGAGAAAAAAGTTATTATAAGAAAACCAGAAAGCAAATATCATAGAGCTAGTCCCTTAACATTCTGAATGCCTGGGCCAGTCTCTGTACTTACACCTGCGTGTTTAAACTGTCTCCTAGGTCTTTTCTGACACTCCCAGGCTACGACTACATCAAAAAGGACTCTTAATTTTGTACCTACCTGCCATTCAATTTTTGGGAAAACCAAAATTGTGAAAATGACATATCAGAATTAAAAAAAAAAAATCACCTTCAAGGATATATGACACAGGAGACTTAATGAATATTTTTGAAAACTATTTAAACTACTTTAAAATAAAAATTGCTAGAAAATCAACACTCAACTTAGACTCTTCTGAAAGTTTTCCCTCTACTATTACTCATCTTATCCAGAATATTATATGTCTAATCAGGAAAACTCAGGCAGTAAGAACACCCAGGCCACCTTCTTAAATGTTTTTTATATGAACATCATCTCCACGTTCTTCAAATTATTGCTACGTATGGTTCTTTCTCTCTCTCTCTCTCTCTCACACACACACACACAGAAATGTTGAAATATTCCAACTTAGAAATGTGGCCTATCTGATGTGACCCCCGTTGGTCTGCTCTGCTGGGAGCATGCTATCCAGTGGGCCCAGGATAGGACTTTATTTTATTCTGCAGCAGGTTTTTTGAGCATAAGGTTCCCTAAAAGAGAGACTGAATAAACAACAGGCAGGTTCCTACAGCCACCACTGTGGGGCAGGAAACAAAGGCTGGAATTAACCCTGACTGAGTGTGCGCAAGGATGGGGTGGATATCAAAGACCAGGGACGCTGCATCCCCACGGCTGGCTGGGAAGTGGGCAACATCACTAGATGAGAGAAAACAAGTGAGTTTTCCCGATGACACCACGCAGGCAGCAGACAGCGTGAATTTACAGGGACTTGGAGGAGGATACTAGCTCTCGCTAGAATGTGGGTTTGGAAGTTGTGGAAATACCAGGAACAGCTGAGGATGAACTGCTGCACAGCCTGTCTCCCTCCCTCTGCCTAGCCATGCTAACTGAATCTAGGCTCAAACCCATTTCATTGGCAGCGTCTGCAGCACAGAGGCCCTGGGTTTGCTTCTCATGGGTCATCCTCTTCCAGAGCCGGAGCAGTGCTACACCCATGAAGATGTGAAGGGTGTTGGTTCCCAAGATGCAAACTCAGAGTATGACAACCAATTCACACTCAAAACCTAATACACACACACACAGAATGAATCAAAATGGGTTTCTATAGGTTGTTTCTGTTCAGTAAGAATGATTCCTTATGAACTTTTAAAATTCAAGAACTGTGCTGTATTTTGCATATTAATGATAATTAAAATAGTAGACCAGTCCCATAGGTCCCAAAACTTAACAAGTGTTTAGCAGTGAATTCTTTGCCCCTGAAGCTGTGAAGTATTATAGACTTCTTCTGTCTTTGCCCTGGACCCTGAAACGTTCAAAAATAATTGGTGACAATTATACTTATAAGAATCAGACATAACCATTCACCCAGTGTTTGATAGTGTAGCAAAATCTTTTTTATCACTCTCATTCAAAGGAAGTACCAGCCATTATGTCTAAAAGAATGAAGAGATGCAAAAATGGTTACTCATCAGCAATTTCTCCCTTCCTTCTCCTCACGTCTAATGGCACGTTCTATTTTAGCTGACTGGTAAGTTAGCAGGGGAAAGGGAAAGATAAACAGAAATACATAATGAAAATAATGTCACGTATCCAAAACTCTATTACCCCAAACTGGTGCATGTCTCTAGCAGGTAATTTCCCTGTCACAAACTCCTTTGCTTCTCTGAACTCACCGTTGTCTGGCTGGTCCCATGTTCCTGAAACTGCGCTATCCTTAGATGTCACTTTATTACACGTATGGGATGCAATGGTTACAAAGATGTAGGGTCTCATTTTTATCCTTTCTCCAATGACTCTAAGGACAATCCAGCCTAGCACCACCCTACAATGGAGTAGGACAGGAAAGGTGGGCTTCACACTCCAGTGGCACCACGTAAATCATGACAGATTGTGGAAGAGTTAAGAAATACACAACACATGATATCATGATTAATGATCCAATGTTATGTTTGCAGAAGCTGAGGCTGTACTCAGAAAACGGCAATCATCACAAAAAAACACATGTAGCTTGTTTTAGCTACTACATTTTTGGTGGCAGTACCTAACATTACTATAGCCACAGTGTTCATCTTAAACTTGGCATTAATATCTCAGAGGGTAAGTTACATAATTAACCATTAGCCAATCATTAGAATCAGGTGAATAAAGACTTCATTCTAAAAATAACTACTTTTAAAATCCCAAAATAAAACAAAAATGAATCTAAGAGAGCTGTTAAAATATTTTTAAAAATTTAAATAATTTCAGAGACTTTTCTTTGTTAAACAATACTCTTCCAAGGCAATGTCTTTTTTTCTATATATATATAGCACATATCAATTTAGAGAATACTCTTACGATTACATAGCTGATTTCTTAGAAGAAACTATAAAAGCCAAATCCTAAGAATTTTTATTTCTTTGAGACAGAGTTTCACTCTGATCCCAGCCTAGAGTGCAGTGGTATGAACACAACTCACTGCAGCCTCAAATGCCTGTGTTCATGAAATCCTCCAACCTCAGCCTCCCAAGTAGCCAGAACTACAGTTGTGTAGCGCCACACCTTGCTAACTTAATTTTTTTTTTTTTTAGAGATAGGTCTTGCCATGTTGCCCTGGCTGATCTAGAATTTCTGGCCCCAAGCAATCCTCCTGCCTCAGCCTCCTAATGTGTTGGGATTATAGGCATGTACCACCATGCCCAGAATGCTTTATATGATTAAGCTGGAGTTGTTGGGTTGTTTCAAACATAAAGACTAAATAATTTAAAGCACCGACCTCAAAAGTGTATACTCAAAATATTTTTTCAATTGCAACTTTTTTTTAGAAGTACTTAGTCCCCCAACTCCATCCTCTGTTAGAGAGAACAAGATGTTGACAAACTCCATTACCTCTTTGTTCCCAACCCTCTGCATGGCATCTCCCAGGTGGAAATAAAATCTCCCATCATCGGTTCCAGGATCCCCAGATTCTATTCCTTCCTGTAGAAAGGACATGTTAGCATTTGTGAAGACTTAAATACCCACTTTCATTAACTGAGTTACCTAGACCTTCCTACGACATCCATAGGAAAATCTAGAAACCAGAAATATACATCTCAATATTACAGGTTGGCAACGAGGTTACGGTCAACATTTGCAATGCAAAAGTGAAAAGGAGGTCAGAAAAGTAAATTTAACCCTACATGTCTCGTTAATCATTAGTGGTGTGGTCTGTAAAATTGGGGAGATACTCTGTGCATCTTCTTTGCAGGAACAATTGTAATTCTATAACCGAAAGAATTTCTCTGGCCAGATAGCTCTCATATTTATTTTCTTCTCCAAATTTAACCAAGTTTTATCTGGAGCCGTTTTATTCCTGAACCAAAATGTTGAACTGCTCATATTTGAAATGATGGCAGCCCAACTGCAAGTCCTATGTCTTTCTGCTCAAAACAAACCTGTCCTTACCTTTCAATGAAATTTTTACAAAACATATAGAAGAATTGAAGCCAATTGGAATCTTTTAAAATGTCATTTATATTAAACAATTTCTTACTGTAAAATATTTAGCTGATGCCCCCATTTCCCCCACAGGACTAACAAGTAGATTTATTTAAAAAAAAGAGAGAGAGAGAGAGAGGGAGAGGGAGAAAAGAAATAAAATATTAGAGCAAGAGTATGATTTAGAAATACAAAAGAAGAAAAGTCAAAAATATTAAAACATCAAAAACTTCTTTCTAAAAATCTGTATCTTTGAGGCCTCTTCACAAAAAGCTTATTGTATTTCACTAGGAAGGAATTTATTTACATCATGTTGGAAAGTAGCGAAAGGCCCAGATGGATGGAAGGGGAGAAGCGGCATCACCCAGGGCAGGGGGAGAACTGTTACCGGGGTCCTCAGCTGACCAGCACACCAACGTCCTTGCTGGTGAACTAACCAACCCAGTGGTCGCAGTCTCCATCTCTGAAGCAGGGAGAATACTGTTTGGCTCTCCAGTGCCAGAGAAAATATAAGGTGACACTTTATTATTATTTTTTTTATTAAATCATAGCTGTGTATATTAATGCAGTCATGCAGTGTGCTGGTTTTATATACAATTTGAAATATTTTCATCAAACTGGTTAACATAGTCTCATGGCATTTTCTTAGTTATCGTGTTAAGACATTTATATTCTACATTTAGTAAGTTCACACGTACCCTTGCTGGTGGGACACTTTACTAGAGAAACCCACACGCCCACAAGGCCCTGGCAGGGATGTGAAGTGCAGTGGCAGCCTGTCAGACCAGGAGTACAGACCCCCCTGAAGGGGAGCCGCCCTCCGCGCCAGTTGTGGGGAAGTAGGCCAGATTCAACCTTTTAAGAGAAACTAGAAGTCTGCATGATTACATAAATGTTCAGATTCTCAAATAAGGCAAGCAATTAAAATTATTTTTAATAGAACTGTGCTGGCCAAAAAAGATACATGAGCTATTTGCAGTCTGTGGGTTGCTACTTGCGATCACTGACTGAGGTCCGGCGAACTAAAGAGGTCGTGAAAATGAAACACGCCGCTACTGAGACGAGAGCTCACAGCTATCCAGTCAGCTCCCCGTCCAACGCGGTAGCTGCCAGCTCCTACCATTACAATTAAAATGAAATAAAATGGAAATTCACTTCCTCAGTTGCACTGGCCACATGTAAGGTACTCAGCGGCCACTCATACAACTGAGTACAGAGAAAGAACAATTCCCATCACGGCAGAAAGTTCTCTTGCAAGGCCCTGGGCTGGACCACATGTGATTCAGGTGGATTAATGAGGATTCAATTAGACATGAGAAGAAAGTAACAGCACATTTTCATCCAAATATTTTGAGCTATCAGATAAGCTTTGAGATTTAACCTATTTAGGCTGGATTCACTACCCTACGTTGTATAAGTAGCCAACAGTCCTAGTCAGAACAGACTCAGTATACAATAATTAACTTGTAAAAGCTTCTTCTAATGCATTGTCTGTATTTTAAATTATGGTAGCAATAATTTTTGTCCATCTCTGCCATTTAAAACCAATAACTCCGGTTTTAGGAATTTTTCCATAAAATCTTTCCAAGTAGTTCCTGCTCACATGGTTGGCATCACGACATCTGGCAGTGTCAGTTACAGTGGAGGCTCATACCGCCACCAACAGCATGGTCAGAGGCATAGACCCCGAGGATGGGTGACTCCAGGCGCAGGCCAGTCACACTACCAGGCACACTAACAGTGTCCTGATGACTCAAAGGAACTGGAAGACGGAAGCACAGGAGGGGCAGTGAGAGTTACCTTTAAATAGGGAATGCTCTCGGCAATCTTGTTCTGTGCCTTCAGGATGAAGCCGTAGTGGACTTTAGCAAAGCCATCGTTAGGTGTCACGCTCAGAACCTAAACTCAAACAAAACAAGGAGCCAGTGTGACTGACTACAAATTGTACAAATGGTTGTCAAAACAGAATTTAATTAACTTTGCTGGACTTGGATTGGATTATGATGTTACAGCTTAAAACACTGTATTTCTTTGGTCTCATGGCAAGATCATTAGACCTAAACAATCCCTTTCCCCCTCAACTCAATAGGCTTTTCACATTTACACAATAGTTCTCCAAGAATGAAGAAATGAATGAAAAGGCAATAAGTATTTAAGTGTTTCTTTAATAATGCAAAACTGCAAAATATCTGTCACTTGATATAACCTCAATAATTTTTTAGTGATCAAGGGAAAATTACTTTAAATGTGCTATACTTGAAGACAACTCTGAATGGTTATTAGACATTACTTTCTACATATGCTTTATACACTGCCTTATTAAGAGAAAATTTAGTTAGTTTGCATTTGTATATATCACAATCCATTCATTCAACAAAGGCTTCTTGAGAGCCTGGACTGTTTTCAGCATTGAGGACAAAGTGGTGAGCAAATCTAATAGTCTGTGATAAAATCCAGGTAAATATTTCATATAAACTACACGAACTATCATTTGTTATCATATGCATTTATTATGATTTAAAGATAAATTATGCAAAATGCCTCTAAATTAAATTTTAGCCATGAGAAATCAAAACAATAGCATTCAACTTGTCAAGCTGCTTACACAAGGGAATTTATAGAACCAAAGAGAAATATGAAGGTGTGAGCTGGGTGCACGTGGAGGAGAGACACATCTCCCAAACCTCTGCTTCATCCTTGAGCAGAAAAAGAGCCATCCCGGCCACCACAGAGCCCTTTCACAGAAGGAGAAAGTGAACAGAGAGTGCACGCCACACCCTGAATGTGTCTACAGGGCACACACTGCTGAAACTCAGCGCTGAGTCCAGTCCTGTGTGTCATCCAGCCAAGGCTGCCTTCAAAGTTTCTTCAGAATACTAGTACCTTGTCATGCTGCCACCCTGGTCCACATCTCAGCATCACCTCCTAACTGCCCACCCCATGCACCCCAGCCCCGCTCTCCTCTAGTCCATTCTCTACACGGGGCCCTGAGTGAACTCTCTAGACTGGTGTTTTTCAACCTTTTTTATCTCACGGCACACTTGAACCTATAGTTAAACCTCCATGGCACACTTAAATTATGCTGATCAAAAAAGAAAGGTTAAAAAGATAACATACTTACTGTTTTTTGAACTTCCTTTAGAAATAATTTAATGGGTGATCTTTAAAAATGTTTGTGACACACCTAAGATCCTCTAATGACACACCAATATGCCACGGCAGACAGGTCGAAAGTCACTGCTTTAGGTCCTGGATCAGATCTCGTCCCTCCTCTGTTCTGTCTCCCACCTCTCTGGCCTCCTCTCCCGATGTGGTCCTTCCCCCAGGAGGCATGGGTCTCCTTCTTGACCCCCCCAGTAAGCCAAAGACCCCTTGCCTAGGACCTCTGCAGTCACAGTACTCCTGTGGCTCCACCTCTTCTGCCAGACATCCAAATGGCACATGTCCTAACCTTGATGAAGGAAGTCGTTGCCCAAAGGTCACCATCTCACCCTGGCTCTGAGCGCCAGTCCCATTACTAAATGGAGCCCTCCCACCTAGTTGTTCACGCTCCGTCTTCTGTGTCCTGACCCATTTTCCTTCACAGCACTCAACACCACCTGGCCTAGTGTATCTGAGCTTCCCCCCACTGAGACTGTGGGCATTTTGTCTGTTTCGCTCTCCACCTGTTCACCGTGCCTGGCAGGCAGCTGGCCCTTGCGAAAGCTGCGCCAACTGTGTTGCTGGGTGCATGCTGGGCCTTACTCCCTAGGTTGGGTCTTTGAATCCCAGACTCTGCTTCTCTGCAGCTCCCACAGCACTGCCCCCTCGCTAGACACTCAGCAGGTGCTCAGTACACACCTCTGGAATTAAACTCAACTGAGGGGAATTGTGCTCTGCTAGCACAACCAGGCAGGGATCATTATAATTACTCAGCTATGCAGATGACACTCCTGCCTACAGCAGGCACAGGGCCATCATCTCAAGTAATTAACAAACTGATTGGTTTCTAGATATTTTAGAACACATAGAACTCTTCTATACCCTCGACATAAAAACATGAATGAGGTACACTCTCCTTTCTTGGGAGGCTATTAAGCGAGTGACAGAGACAGATTCACAGGCAGACAAGGACCATGGAAGAGGCTGAGTGCAGCCACAGACCATGACGGAGGCTTTGCAGAGGTGGGGGCGGGAGTGGCCCGGCTCCCTCCAGGGGCAGGCTGGCTGTGGCAAGGTCCAAAAGCTACTTAGGGACCAACAGGAATTCACCAAGGAACGGGAAGATAGTAGGGAGAAGGCATCCAAGGAACAACAGGAAGTGAGCAAAAAGGGGTCACAGGCCAGGGAGAGAAAGGGGGATATTGTTAATTACAAACGGAGGTGACAGAAGAGCCTGGAGAGGGGGCAGACGTCGGATGGAATCACAGGGGGTCCTGTTCAGTATCGCATGCAGTGTATCCCCTGGGGAATAGCAAGACGTCACAAACACTTCTACTGATATCTGTGTCTGAAATACAGCATTTAGAGTGAAACCAGCTCCACGGCTCTCCTATCATCTGCCCGGTGGTCAGTTGTGAGTGGGAGGGGGTTCGGGCAGCCAGAGTCCTCTGCACCCCGTTCTCCCTGCTGATTCCTGCCCTCAGGGCCAGCCTTCCCATGTGTACGTGTGGGCGCACCGTGCACGGGCAGGCTCCATTTATTATCCCCTTATCATCTGCAGACCCTTAGACATCAACAAGTAGTATGACACCATTTCTAGGAAACCCAGACTGAAGCTATGGCTGACTACTGAACCACAAGGGCTTACACTACACAGTAAGCACAGGTCCACCTACACACACACTGTGTCCCGCCTCTACCATCCCCGAGACAGCGACACCAAGCCTCAACTTCCTCCTCCTCCTCAATCTTAACGTGTGGGCCAAGAGGATGAAGACCTTTATGACGATCCACTTCTACCCGGTGAGTGGGAACTGTAATTTCTCCTCCTTATGACTTTCCTAACATTTTCTTTTCTCTTGCTCCCTTTTAAAACCTTTCTTGAATACATTCATACTTGAGAGAATACATAAATATACAGCATAAGAGGGACATGTTAACCAACTGTTTATATTATTGGGAAGGCTTCTAGTCAACAGCAGTAGGTTATTGGTAGCTTTGGGGAAGTCAAATGTTACATGTGGATTTTCCACTGCAGGAGGGGTCAGTGCCCCCCACCCCACATTGTTCAAAGGTCAGCTGTAACAGTGATATTACACAATTCCTTCTGTGGACACAATTCACGCTCCATGCATACACAGAGCACAGACAACAACAAACTGGGACAGTTGACATTTCTACCGCCAGTACCAACTCTTTGCAAGACATATTACTAGGATTTAAAATAATGCTGTAAACACAAATACCACTGCACATTGATATCACTAAAATATTAATTCTTGAATAAAAGTAAAAAGATTTTTTGGCAGTTAAATAAAATTGAAAGGTATTTTAAGTATTTTATTTCATCTTAATATGGATTTGAGTGTTTGCCACTTTTATAATGTATATTGTTATCCAAGGACAGGTAATAAAACATGTTTGAACACCACAGCTGTGAGCAATGGGAACGAGAGAAAATCAAAGCAGAGGGAGAGGTCTGATTTGTGCTTTAGTGTGGACCGAGCTGAGAGGTGAGTCAGCTGGGGCAGGACAAGCCTGTCCTTGGAGGGAGAGTCCAATTTGTGCTTTAGTGTGGACCAAGCTCAGAGGCGAGTCAGCCGGGGCAGGACAAGCCTGTCCTTGGAGGGAGAATCCGATTTGTGCTTTAGTGTGGACCAAGCTCAGAGGCGAGCCAGCCAGGGCAGGACAAGCCTGTCCTCATCTAGGTGTGAGTCATAAGTGCTTGAGTTAAAAAGAGCCATGGTTTGAAAGATACTCAAAAGGTAAAAGGAATAGTAATTAGAGATCTGAGGGTAGACTATAAATTCCATGAGGGCACATTCTGTGTTTGTTACATGAACTACCATTCCTGAGCTGGTGTGTGTGTGTGTGTTTATAAATGTGTGTTGACCCAGTGAGTGGACATTATATGTGGGGAGTGGGTGGGGAGAGAATCAGGGAAGGGCTGGACTCCCCACCCCGTTGGCATGGGTGGCCAGCAGTGTTGCCAACTTGAGGAGTCTGCAGAACCCCAGGTGTGGCAGTCTCCGTGGAACCATTATGAAGCCAGTCTCATGAAACTGAAAGTAGCAAAAACCCAGAAAGGAAACTATCAACAATTTTTATAAATATAGTCAAAAATAAAAATCAACAAGAAGAAAAATGTAAACTTACTATATTAGTTTTCTAGAAACGATCTTGGATACAGACATAAACATATCATGATAAACTTTGGTTAAGGAAAGGGAATCCATTAGATACAGCTCATTAAATCAGAAGTGAGAGAAAGGGATAAAAGGCAAATCTTACACATATTTTCAGTCTATTAACGCTCCTTGAAAAAGAGATTCACTTTACCGTATAATACAACTAGACTTAGACTTTCCGCCTCCTACTATGCTTATTCAGGTGAGATTATGAGTTCAAAGGTATAACCAACAGCACATAAATTTTATTTTTTTTCAGGATGATGCAAAATGCTTCACATATCTGAGACTTAGTGTCAGGTAAAAGAGATAAATGTATTCAAGAAAGGTTTCAAAAGGTGAGGAAGAACAAGTCTGTAGCAGGTTAAGATACTGATAGGTTTTCAGAGCCTGCCCTGGCTTCAAGGTGCTGAGACCCAGTGAACACCTGATAGTGTCTTTTAGATAGAAAGAAGAGAGGGAGAGAGTGGGATGCTAAAAGGGGGAGAGGGAAGTATGGAGGGAGGGAAGGAAAATGGGAAGGAATTCTACAGGAAAGGAAGGAACGAAGGAATGAATTCATTCATTCACTCTGCAGTTCTGTCTTCAGGTGGCTCCTGACAGGGGGGGTATAAGGACGTGTCTGCTGCAGCTTTAGAATTCTTACGTTCACAAGATCCCGAATCACTGAGACACAGGATGCTTCCCTTAACCTAACTCTGCACGGCAGGGCACTGAGAGTTATTTTTGGCCATTAGCAAATACAATGCCCCACGTGGAATCATTCTGTGACCTGGAACAGGCCTTTGGTTGACAGCACATATCTTCACCATTGTAGGTTGAAACCACTCTGAGTTGATATTAGGGACGTTATACAGAACAAATGTCTTATTTCTGCTCTCTCAGAAAACATAAAACTTATGAGAAGGGTAAGAAGACAACTGTTCCAAAATTCAACAATTTCTAATTTTGCTTCAACAGCAGTCAACAGAGGGAAGTGCCACTGTGAGAGTGGGACCAGTCCCTGGATTGAGTAAGAAATTGCTGTAGTAAGTGGCATTTAAAAACACTGTAGAAGGAATCACAATGGCTATCACTGAGTAGTCAGTCGTACTTGATACAGACTGCACTAGCTCAAAACCACTGATCAACAGGCCTAAATTAAAGAATTAAACCAGCTCACCATGTTCTTTCTTTTACAGAGGCATTAACTTTCTCCAGCCCCAACGTTCACTGGGTATCTATTTCTCCTGCACTAAACGAGTTCCTTCATTGCTTAAAGAAGTCACAGTTTTCTAGATTTTATAGTCTCTTGTGACTTGGAAGTTACCTGTTAAAACATCTGTTATAAAGTAGAAATCTTTTGAAAGGCATTCTTGCCAGAGGATTGATACGTCAGTGCCCTTTTGAAAAGTTAGTAATTTATCCCTTGTGCTTAAAAGTAGGGTGACCAGATTCTAACATCT